CGCTCATGACATCGAGAGGATCACAATGGGACAAAAATGCCCCTCAACTACAGTGCCCACGCGCCGGCAACGCGTCGGTGTCCAAAGCGATATCGCATCGCCGGAAAACTTCCAAATCAAGAGCCAAGACTCCTACCCTAGGTAATACACCTAATTTGGAGTCACTTTTGTTCTTGGACGTACCCCAAAAACTGACCGGAAATGGCCGGAATCGCGATCCCAAAACCGGCCGAACCCTAACTCGAAAATCAGATAATCTAGGCTACAAATTGATGCAATCCTACCCAACCATCAGCTAGATCATGCAGAAGGGATGAATTTCCATACCTTGATCGCCAAAAATGGCGGCCGGACGACGGAGAACGAAGCCGGCGAAGTTTCGGGCGAAACCGAGCTTTTCTCTTCGATTTTCCGACGAAATCTCGACGGCTGGCGGCGGGAGCTGGCCAGGGTAGGAAGAGGACGGCGGCCCGGTCATTTTGGTACCGGCCCCGTCAAGATTGGTGGCCGGACGAGAGCACGGCCGGCCAAAACGTGGCCGGCTGTTTCAGCCGTCGCGAACCAGAGGAGAGAGAGAGGCGCGGGAGAGAGAGAGAGAGAGCTGAGGGCTTTTCTGTCTTTTTAACCAAAAACCCATTTCAAAATATTTACGATTTTGCCACTGGGGATGTTTTGCTCGTAACTTCTTCGTTACAGCTCCGATTTAAGCCCACTACGTCTTTACGAACTCATCTCGCCCTGCTCTACGCAACGGTACATCCGGAATTCCCAAATTCCTTTCGGGTAAGAAAATGACTAAAATACCCCTATTCCACGGGTAAATTCTTAATTTCACTCAAATTAATTAAAACAGGGGATAAATTTGGAGTCGGGGTGTTACAATATGTCTAGACGCTTCTTCTTATTAAAATCTCGGTTTATTAGTTAAAAGTTGGATTCAATATCCATAACTGTCTTACATTTATCAAGAAGAATAATTAAATGAGGGTTTTATAATCAACATAAGGAAGAGCTGTTTGGTAGGTATCTAAGACTAATAAATCAATTAAGTATTTTGTTCTTGGGAATTATGTAATTTATGGACAACATTTTATATATGTTTGTTGCATGTTATCATATACCATAGGCTTAATTTTTTCAAATCCTCTAGGTGGGATTGCCCCTGGGGAGAGAGAGAGAGAGAGAGAGAGAGAGGAGAGAGAGAGAGAGAGAGAGAGAGGTGGTGGATGGGATAGAGGAAGGTGGAGGGAGTGTCATAAGAGAGGCGGGAGTGCGGCTGTGTATGGCAGGGATGGTTTGATTTGAGAAATTATTTTTTTCACAATATTAAACCCAAATAAATAAGTTAGGGAAAGTACATCAAACGTGGTTTTCTTCTTCTGTCTTACACTCCCCTTCTATTTCCTCACTCTATCGTTTAATCGCTCTTCTCGATTTCTCCTTACATTATCCAACAATTGTTTATCAAACATGTTACTATTGTACAAAATTTTCATGTTTTCTATTTGTCTATTTTTGCTCATTTTGCTTCAAGATCTTGAATTTGTTGTTTGGTGGTTGAGAAATGAAGTGCAGAAAATATATCTAATCTATAGTTTCTATTCGTTTTCGGTACTTTTGATTGCATATCTTGAATTTACATTGTTTGATGGCTGAGAACATGAGGGAAAAACCAACAATTAGAAAATTCATGACCAAGCTATGATGTTAGGGAAAGCGTGTGATGGAATGGACACTACGATAACAATAGAATAGATTGGTTTTCGTAACAGAGTGATTTTATTAGAAAGGACAGAAGTACACTGCTTGCTTGGTGTAGAACTATGAGGCTATTAATAATGTAGCTATTGGTTGGCTAATTGGCCTTTCAGTGATGTAACTATTTGCTACTTAGTGGGTTTGTAGGACTGCAGGATTCCACTGGCATATTACACAAAGCCTTGTAATCTCCTCTGTTTCTATACTACTTTGTTTCTATTAGGTTGTGTGAGGCTTAGATATAATGACTCATATTTCATGGCCAGAGAAGCGAGCAAAGGTCTTTCAACAAATTAAACAAGTTTACAAGGTGTCACCAAGGCACAAAACGGTCCATACGCTAACGAACTTTGGCCTCTGAAAGCGTAGAGGAATCCAAGTCCCTCTGAATCTGAGCCATTCTGCTGCTCTCCTTTCTTGCTTCTTTCAACACTTGTCGTTGTTCTTCAACCTCATCATCACCTTCTCCTTGTCCGGCCTTTGATGAAAACACCATTCGCTTCTTAGCCCCCACCTAGTCTTTCAGCTTTGCCAACTCGCTCATCCAAACCTCCACCACTGCAGACATGCTTGAAAACTTGAAATTCTGGCTTGGTCTTGACTCTTGAGTTTGATCAAGGATGATGAGGAGAGCTGGCTATTATGCTTGTTGGGTTATATAGAAGAGAGAGAGAGAGAAAGAGGGCCTTGCCCTTCATGTGGTTTGGATTGGATGAAAAATCAGTGTGTCACAGACAGCCGTTGGTTATAGGCTCGCACACAGGATTAAGATTTAGGAATCTTCCTTGGGAAAAGAGATAGAGAGAGAGAGAGAGAGAGAGAGAGAGTAGAGAGCGGTATGAGTTTTGTTGAGTCAATGAAAAGCTTCACCATGGCGGGCGACTTGGCATATTACTATTCATCAATAATATTCCATTCCGAATCTCTTTCTCCGAAAGACCTATTCACCTCTTCATCATCATCTTCAGTAAAAGTAGCCATCTTCATTATCTTCACAGCTGAAGTAGCCACGTTCCGAGTTTTGCTCATCTTCACATAGATCAATACAATTATCTCCATCAAACCTCTCATTAGCATCTTCCAAGTGATCGGATTCAGGCTCATCATCTTCCATAAATATAGACAGGTCTTCATCATCTTGTGTCATTACCAGGTGGACCCCGAAGCTTTTAAAACGCAGCGAATCTTGTGTCAAATTCTGAAAATTAACTCGACACACAAAAGGCGACTGCGGCCAGGTAATCCGATCATCCCGGTAAAACATTTCTCTAAATCGAATATAGCACAGCCACACATGACCTGACCCTATCTTTCTGAAATGGTAATCGAACCGAATAAAATGAGGTAGCACTCGTGGTTGATTGACGGAAATTTTTGTTAGAAAACCATGGTAACGTCGTCTTTTATTTTGCGGGTTTTCAACAGCAGCGTATAGAGCCAATCCTTGGTTCTGGCATTTGAAGTTTGGAGGGATTTCAATCAAAAATTCACATGCTTCATCACGCTCCTTCACATCCTTATGACAGCTGAACAACGTCGAGAGAGCTTCAAAACTTGCTGGGAATACAACCTGAAATCCATGTTTCTGTGAAGACAGAAGGTGATCAAAGAAAATAGTGATCTGCTCCTTTGCTAAAATGTTTTGCTTTGTGAGGTCACAAGCCAGATTGCCGCAGAGTCTATGGCAATTACACAAGTCCACCAACTCAATCATTTGTGAGTCTTTTTTACCTTTCAAAATGTTGTTCAATGATGAAAACCTTTCCAATGATACGCAATCACTCACCTCTAACTTTACTATTTTTGGTGGAAGTTCCGGAATATCTCGAAGCCTCTTGCAGCCATGCAAGTAAAGATCCCGCAAATTGACAAATTTCGTAATGCATTCGGGAATACTTACAAGGAAATCACTTCGTGTTAGATCAAGCATGCTCAATGTAGACACACAATCAAGAGTCCTGAGGAAATTAATTTCTGATAAATTGCTTCTTTCCAAAATGAATTCCTCAAGACTGGGAAGCGCTAAAGTATGTGATACTGCACTCCCCAAAACTTCAGACTTCACTTTATTTGGAAATGTAACAAGCTTTCGACTTCCTTGGAGACAAATTTGGTTTAGATGTTCCAACTCATAAATGCTGGGTGGTAGATTCATAAGATTTTCACAACTTCTTAGGTCTAAATATTCAAGACTGATGAGATATGAAATTGACGCAGGCAATTCTTTGATGCCACTACCACGTAGAAACATGCGACGTAAGGAATCCATCTTTCCCCCAATTTCAGGGAAAGTCTCCAGTCTTGTGCAATCTTCAAGATTGAGAACTTCTAGAGATTTTGACTTGATTATTGGAAATACTGTGAGGTTATGGCAACTCTCAAGACTCAAGTCCTCAAGCTTATCATGAAACCCAACAGAAGGATGAACCTCAACTAAACTTGTGCAGTCGTCTAGATTCAAGGACTGTAAGTTTGGAATTCCAGAGATATTTGGGGTTTTTGTTAAGAATTCACAGCTCCTAAAGTCCATGGACGTCAAATTTTGCAAACGCTATATAAGACAAAAATAGAAGAAGGAGGATCAAACGATAAGGCATAAACAAGTTTAAGTCATAACTCCAAAAACTTAATAAACTTTTGAAAATACGAAGGGAAGGAAATAATTTAAATTACCTTGAATCCTTCCCCAAGTTGTGACAAGCGGCTACGAGGCATATAAAGTTCAACAAGTTTCCTTGGATTGAAAGTAGATGGTAAAGTTTGTAAAGGACAACCAGGCCAATGAAGAAACCTCAACTCATTAGATAGATAATCCACATGATCGCCATAAAATCGTGCATTCACATTGATGAAAAATCGAAGGTTTTTCATCTTTGAGAAGCTGTCATCACTCAACCATATGTCATCTGGTGTTGGAAACTTTGCTATGATGCCTTTAATATTGTTTGTTCCCTATAAAAAAAAAGTTGTGTTAAGATACAAAGCTCTATAGCAAATAAAAATGCAAGTGTACACACACACACGCACACACAGACTTACAGTTCCTTCTGTTAGAACACGATAAATATCCTCGTGAAACCACAATCTGCTACGTTCACCAGGCTCATTTGGCGACTCTTGATAAACTATTCCTCTACCCAATTCTTCAAGCAAGTCATGCATCTCAATTGTGCCTTGTTCAATATTTATGAGGGCCTTGTCTACGAGTACTTCAATAGCATACTTAGGCTTGAGGTCACAACCTTCCAGGATCGGTATCACATCGTACACCTTTCTACCTTTAAAGAAACATGCTATGTCAAGGAAAACTTCTTGAACCGAATATTCCAATGCATCATAACTTATTTTGAGAGTTTTTTTAATGTCCGAGTGCAGATTCCCATCCAATGCATCATGCCACTCATCTGTACTTCTACCACATAGATGAGAACCTAAAACCTTGAGAGCTAAAGGAAGACCTTGAGCATACTTCACCACAGTTTCTGCAGCTTTCACATAATCATCATCCAAATTTTTATTCCTCCCACCATTCCAACTAATGAAGAGATCAAGAGATTCACCAAAGTTTAATTTCTTGGCCTTGTATATTATACTAACTTGATGAGAAGTTAGCAAATGCTTATCTCTTGTCGTTATGATGATTCTACTGCCCAAACCAAACCAATCACAACCTCCAACTAAGTTGTTTAACTGGTCCAAATGATCCACATCATCTACAATTACAAGGACCTTTTTACAACTCAACCTTTCCCTTATCACACTGATTCCTTTATCGGCACTCGTAACCTTTATTTCCTTTCCCCTTAGAATCTCATAAAGAAGAAGATTTTGTAGGTCGACTAGGCCTCCATATGGTATTGATCTTTCTCTTACATTTTCCAGAAAACATCTCCCTTCAAACACATGGGCCAGTGAGTTATAAACAGCTTTAGCAACAGTTGTCTTTCCTATTCCACCATTCCCCCATATTCCTACCATGCGAACATCATTTCCGTCAACATCTAAAACTTTATGAAGATCTCGTACACGGGCCTCTATTCCGACTTGGTATTTTGCCACATTGATATGGGTATCATTTAATACTTGTAAGGAAATCTCGTTGACAATGTTCTGAATAAATTCAGTTTCACGGCTGCCAATTTCAAGCACAAACAACATCTAAATAAAATGGGATTTTTCTATATATGTTTTAAAGAAGTGCTCGACTCGATACTAGTGCAAATTATGTTGTGAATCTATATATATAAAGCGAAAGGCAGAGAATGATGAAACATTCAAAATACCAGAACATGGTAGAACTATAGATTACACAGGCATATTACACGAAGCCTTGTAATCTCCTATGTTTCTATGTTACTTTTTTTCTATTAGATTGTGTGAGGCTTAGATATAAGACTAGTGTTTGGCTTTCTAGTAGATTTCTTAGTTACAATACACATTACAACACTTCAATCCTATTTATTTGCAAGTTTTCCGGCAAGACTGCCGACTTGACCAACCGCCATGTCTACAACTTGGCTTTATCAAATATTATCAGCCACATAAGCTGCGGCTTGCTCTAGACTAGAGCATTTTACAAAACTCCTTATATGTTTGTGGCTATTTGTTTAGCCGGCATAGTTCACCGACTTGGTCATTTAGTCCAGTAGCTACCCTCTTCTAGATTCCATATTTTTAAATATGTGTATTAATATTTTGTAAAATTAATTATTTATAATTATTAGTTTTCAAAACTATATAATTGATAATATATATATATATATATATATATATATATTAGTTGTGTGGCAAGTTACGTGAATCTAAACATTAACTAGTATAGCCTATCAAATCTTATTGTATGGCTTTAACTATATCTATTCATTTCAGCCTTATTTAATGTTTATTATATACACACACTTTACAAAAGCATTTAGAAAGATTTTTTGTTTGCTTACTAAGCTTTTTGTTAAAGATTGATGTGTTGCAATATGGAGTCCTCAAAACCAATTAAAGCATGAGGTGGGATATATTGGCATGAGGTGTAAGGACAGTAGGTATCCCTATATATATAAACTTAATTGGAGAGTGCTCACTAAGCACTCTACAAAGCCAACACATAAGGCTATTTGGGGTGACAGATTACTTTCAAGCCACCCAAGTAGTCTAGCAACCTATAGGCTAGTTATGTGGCACAATATTAAGCTTTCATCTAAATCTTTGCCGACTCTAGCTTGCTATAAATAGCACTATCTAATAGTTCTTGTATCATAGGTTCTTCAAGTTGCGTTAGTTTCCTAAAAATCATACACAAAAGAAAAAAAAAGAGTGAGAACTAAGAGTGGTAAGATTTTGGAGAAGCTCGAAGTATTTGGACTTGCAACTGGGAGTTATACAATAGCTTTGGATTTGAGGTAAGGATTTTTCTTGGGGAAGCTTTACATAAATTGATTTAATTAAATATTGTGAATACTATATTATGCTTGGTAATATCATTTGATTATTATCCTTGATATTGGGTATTTACATGTTGTCAATTATCATTATAATTTGATTAATATTGACATGTTCATACGTTATTGGTGATGGTTGGAATTCTTGGGTTGGTAAAAAAAATTATGGAAAAGAGGGTAATGGGAAGGTTCTTTTGTGTAGTTGAGTCTGACAATTGTAGGGACCAAGTTCAGGAGAGCCCGTGTGCACAGTAGATTAGGAAATTGGCGGTATAAATGTCGATTAATTGGGTGATTTGAGCTTGGAGATCATTGGTGTAGACAAGATGACTAGTGTTGATACCGTGACTAACTGAGCAACTAGCTAGGCAAGATCAGCCACATGCCATGCTATGAGAGGTCATCATCTTAGCCAAAGAAGCCTTACCACAAGTCACAACTAGGGGCAATATCAAGAGTCCCACATTGGAAGACAACAAGATGTGTAGACTCCCCCTCATTTATAAAAGGAGACCACTCTTCACTTAGAAAGGATCCTTGGGCTGGGCATTATCTTTAATCATGGGCTTCTCTCTTCTTATCTTTATATTTGGGTCCAACCCCATATACAAATGTAAACATACATTGTTATAATGAGAATATACTTCTCCATGGACGTGGCCCATTCATTAAGGGTGAACCACGTATATCTTGTCTTTTGTATATTTATTGCTTGCCCAAATCCTCACACACTTGGTGAAGGTCCTCACCTTCACCCATCATCCATCACACCTCATCACTAAGTTGGACTCAATCTTGGCCGAACCATTTTTGAGCATCAACAACTAGCAAAAGGGGAATTATGGGATAACTAAGATGGGTGTTAGTTTATATAATGGGGCATTCGGAATCACAGTGGTAAAATGTATGGTATGGGACATGCAAATTTGCGTGCCCTATTGGGAAAAATTGAAGTTCATTCATTCATTGCATAAATTGTACATTATAAATCTCACTAATCACATAAGACATAGGACCCCTACTGAGCATGTAGTGCTCACCCCTTATTAAATCTATTGCAGGTTTTGAATCTGAAGTTTAGTTTGTGACGAGGAAATAAGAAGAACGAGTTGTGGATAGTTTTGAATGTTTTGTTGGAAGTTCGTTACTTTTTTGTTATTTGTTTGTAAAATTACAATGTAAATTACTTTGGTTTAAATAGAAGTTTATGTTCAATCTTCATGTTTCTTGATATTTAATTTTTTTAATTTTAATTTTTCTTTTACCTCACACTCCAAATATAAAAAAATAATTGCAGTGTGACACTACTACAATTATCTTAGATATCTGATGGCTATTGTAGCACTTTGGGATTCTAAATTATTACTCTAGAGATTTCTACCAAATGTCCATCACATTTTAACAGTTACAATAACAGATTCTGCAACCCTGGGATAAATAAATTGAAATTAAAGCAGGGCCTCTGGATCCTAAATGCATATTAAAGATAGAAATATACCGCATTTAGAAAAGAAAAATATATATATTTATAAAAAAAAATTATAAAAATAAAAAAATAAAAAAAACATACCCCTCCAAGTAATGCAACCCAGACAAATTAGCAGCTTCTGTAAGGGTTTCCTTCCATCTCAGCATCTTCTTCATATTGTCCTTGAATTTACTTTCATCATGATTAGTAAGTTTCTGCTCTTTGAATTTGCGTTCATGGTTATTCAGTGCCTCGCCATAACTACCTCTTTGGTTCCTTACATCTGAGGGATCCACTTTGTAGAAAACTGGCCAAACCATCTGTTGCTTTGATTTTCTACACTGAATGATATGAACAAGTTCATCCAAGCACCACTTCGAGGATGCATAGTTTTCAGAGAATACGATGATGGAACACCTCGATCCTTCAATTGCATCAAGAAGTGCTTGTGATATTTCTTCTCCTCTTGGGAGCTCATCATCTATGAAGGCTCTGATGCCCCTCTGTACCAAATTTTTGTGTAGATGGTCTGTGAAATTGTAGCGTGTGTCCTCACCTCTAAAGCTGAGAAACACATCGTGTGTCCATGAATTGGTGAAAGAAGAAGAAGAAGAAGAAGAAGAAGAAGAAGAAGAAGGGGAAGGAGCTCCTAATGGTGCCTAGATCCATATTGTTGAAAATTGAACAGGCTGAAAGGGTTGGAAGTTATGGTGATTTATTGTCCAAGAGTTTCTGGTTGGCAATGTCAGTGGGGAGAAGAATCATGTGAGTGAAAAATCTTGGTCTTTCTGGGCCCCAAGAGCTCCTACCCCTGCTGGGTCTCTCTAGACCCGAGGGACAGTTTAACCAAAAATAAACGTAGTAATAATAACACACTAGTAACAGCACTCTCACCTAATGGTCATGAAAAAGAGCAAGGGCTGTTACTATTCATACAAAATTGGTCGAGGGAAGTACTTGGTACTCTGTACTTAAGACAGTTTATGCCCCAATACATTGCTCATGATCGCAATTATCTCCTAAGATACAACCACCACTTACAATTGTAACTTTTTTCATTTTACATTTCAAACTTCAAATTCAGTCGGCAATTAGACCAGTATTAACTAGTACAAACACCTTGCATTTTTATGCAAACCCTTTGTGTCTAGAAACAATTCTGCACTAAAAGTAGTTTTCAGTTCAACATTGGTCGTGTGTGTTTACTTTCTTGTCTCTCCACACCAACTTCCAAAACCACAGCAAAGCTAGCTGCAGTCATTTTGTCACAAAATCAACTTGATGTATTTTTTTTTGTATGTTCGTTTGTTAAAAATAGTTTATGGTTTAATGGTTTGTCCTTAAACTTTTGGTTTATATATAATTTCTTTAAATCCAAATGTAAGAACCATTAATTCATCCGCTAATAGCTTGCAAAAATATGATTAAAATGGAAAAATTATAAACAAATACACATTAAATTAATAATACATTTATATATATATATATGCAAGATTAGACTAATATTTAATTACAAGGTGTCACCAAGGCACAAAACGGTCCATAAGCAAACAGAATGTGGCCTCTGAAAGCGTAGAGGAATCCAAGTCCCTCTGAATCTGAGCCATTCTGCTGCTCTCTTTTCTTGCTTCTTTCAACACTTGTTGTTCTTCAACCTCATCATCACCCTCTCCTTGTTTGCCCTTTGATGAAAACACCATTCGCTTCTTAGCTCCTACCTTGTCTTTCAGCTTTGCAAACTCGCTCATCCAAACCTCCACCACTGCAGACATACTTGAACTACTTGAAAAGTTGAAATTCTTGTTTGGTCTTGACTCTTGAGTTTGATCAAGGATGATGAGGAGA